ATGTGAACCCTTCAGGTATTGAGTAACACCTGTATCTTGATATAGAACTGATCTTTTCTTTTGATTTTGAAATATATTAATTTGGAATGAGGTAAGGTTCTGTTATAGAAAACGTATTTGAAGACTCTTTTAAACAGGGAGCTGAAACCATTTCACATCATTAGCCATTGAGACATGCCTCTACGTAGTTTGAGGTATTTACTATTAACTCAACTTAGAAACTTTTTAGGTTCACTGTATGTGCAGTAAACATTATAAACTTTGGTTACAGCGGGATTTGCTGTAGATTTGACTTGACAGAGGTGAGTATAAGACAGTTTGCTGTCAGGATTGCAACCACAGGAGACTGCTCACGCGTGAATCGGAAACAGTTACAGCTTTTAAATTTTAAAGCATTTGGTAAACGATTGCTGAGTTTTTTTTTCTGTTGCCAATAGCAAACTGCTTTTCCATTAATGGAGAATTCATGCCTTTCAAACATTTTAAATATGACAATATTTATAAATGTGTGGTTTGGAAGAATTGTTCAAATTCTTTTTCCTACTTTCCTTTCTCTTCAGGATAGATTCTTTCAACAAGTAATTTGTAGTGATGACTGTGTTGACTTCAATTTTCAAGTGTAGTAGGTATGTTAAAGATGAACTATTGGTCTTATTGAAGCCAACACAGAACTTGCTGCTGTGGTTTTTCTTCAATGATAAATAAAATACTTACAGAATTTGTTTTAGTGTTGATTTGTGGTTATAGTCAAAGTGTTCTGTTAATAATGGCGAGTTTGCATATTCAGTTGTTTGTATTGTCCTTGTGATGTACCCGTTCCTGCATAGCATCAGAGAACCTGCGTACAGCAGAAGGACTTGTGGCCAGGATGCTGCCCCTACGGTGTCCTTCCCTGGGGAGCCGGTAGTTTCTCGTCCTGTTGTCCTATGAGCTGGGGTGTGTGGTGTGTGTCGTGTACCACCTTGTTTCCCCCTGAAATTACAAAAATCAAGTGATTTCCAGGAATGGTCATTGCAGATTTATTGTGGCTGTGCAGGCATTTAGCTTATTTCTGATAATGCGTAGTGAGAATTGCTGTTGGTGCAGCTGTGAGACCAGAAGAGGGAGTATTAATGTTCTACTTAAGAGAATCAGATGTGGCCCTTCCCGTTTGATGTTACACATGATGGAAACCACTGTTTTAAATCTATAGTTTTCTTAATACCTGGTGATTCAAACAAGTGGAACTCTTAAAAGGTCTTTGGTGAGGAGAGGGCCTTTTTTTAAAAAAAGATTTATTATTTATGCATACAAGAACTGGGGTACAGGCCAGAGGTGCGGGGGTGGGGGGTAAGAGGGGTAACAGAAACAGCGTGGGGAACAGGACAGGCAGACTGACTGAAATACACTGCTGAGGGGAGCAATGGCCGAGTCAGGAGAGGTCTGCTCGCCATGTGGGACTCCTCCCTGGCCCAGGATCGAACATGTGCTTCCGTGGCTGCAGATAGCTTCATAGGTTGCGTCTTAACTCCTTGCACCACGGGGAGGCGAGAGGGCCTTTCTTTTTGTAACAAGTTAGAAGAACTTGGGACAGCTGTAGCCTGCTGTGAGCATTAGGTTTCTAGAGCAGAATTATACCTGTGGCGTCACGGAAAGGTCCCAGCTGACAGTCCCCGCAAGCTGCTTGTTATGCTTGCTCAGGTGAATCACAGATGCATGTCTCACAGGTAGGTTTCCAGGCCAGCCTGCAAGCCCACCCACCTGCCCTACTCAGACCTTTCCCCCGAGTCCTTTGTCTCCTGAGTCCTTTGTCCTGGGACTTGGAATCCAGAGTACAGGATGAGGGTGGAGGAATCTGCTTCTGCTTTGTGATCTTGCTCTTGGGTTTCCACTCAAGACCTTGCAGCCTTGCCTCCCTCCCCCAGTATTTACTCGCAGATGTCAAAAGCAAGCTGGACGACCTACTCAACTGACATTTGCTAGAGTTTCGTCCATGTTTCCAGTGGTTTCTATACTTTAAAAAAGAAAAAACCATTGCTGTTTATCCACAAGGGTCCGAGGGTGAAGACGGCAGTCCCCAGAAGACAAGTCCCACCAGTTGTCCGTGGTGGCTAGAGGAAGAGGCTGGCAGCTACACGCGTGGGATGTCAAGTTCTACCTGTGTTTTGTTTTCTTACCAAGACATTTTGGCCGTATCCTGATTACTACTGTGCAGGGGAACTGCGTCATGCTATGAGAACAGTCCAGGAGATCAGGACTGACAGTTGAACCTGTCTCTTTCCCTTGAAGTACATACCTATTTGTGGTGTGATTTGAAATACATAATTTTGACTTACTGGTCTGTGCCAAAAGTTGTAATCAAATTTTATAGTTCTGCAGTCTTCACAAAGGACTTAGTAGGAAAATTAAAATGCAAAGAAACGAAAAGCTCCCGGGAGTGTCCACGGTAAAGGGTAAACCAGGTTAAGGTGATCGGTGTCTTCACAGTTGGTAAAAGCTCCTGAGACTTCCATAGTACATACTGGCTTTAGTCAGATGTGCAGCATGTTCTTACAATAACAAGTTAATTTTGTCATACTAGTTTAATAGGCTTCTTTTACCCTAAATTTACTTGTGTCTTACGTTTGAGTTCTGAGGTTGCTTTTTTTTTTTTAAGATTTATTTTTGCGTACAAGGATTGGCATGTAGGCCAGAGGTGCAGGGGTGTGTGTGAGAGAGAGAGTGAGCGAGCGAGAGGATTCACCAAGACAGAGTGGGGAGCAGAACAGGCGGATCTACTGAAATGCACTGCTGAGGGGAGCAGCGGGTGAGACCGGAGAGGACCGCTGAGCCATGTGGGTAGCTCCCTGGTGGAACTGAGCTCAGGCTTGATAGTGCTGAGACTTCCCCTGCACCACCAGGGAGGCCCCCTGAAGTTGCTTTTGACTGACCTACAATGTGGTTAGTATACTGTCCTTGTAAGAGAGCTCTTAACTGTGACAGTATTCTGTTGATTCTTCAACTCCTCGTATTTTATTAGCTGGGAAATAGGTACATTTGTGGGGGGCTGATTGGGGAGGTAGGGGAGTAGCGGCTGCCAGAGTAGTTAGGAAGGTCTTTGGACACCTTCCCCATTCTCTCCTGGTCTCAGGGCAGCTCTACAGTAAAGGCGGCCCCATTCCCAATCTGGTAAAGTGACAGGCACATCCTGTCCCTGTAACATCACACAGCAATTCTCATACTGCAGATGCATAAAGCCACATGCCCAATATCTGTAATTTGGCTCTTTTTTAAAATAGAAAGCAGTTTAATTGCCCTGGTGCCTGGAGAAGGGTCTGATTGGATTGCTGTGGCTCGTGAAGGTACAGCAGGGCAGTGGGAGAGGGAATAGAATTCAGTGACTGAAAACGACCCTAAAATAGGCATGTGTTCTAGCAAAACAAACATGGCTTTATTGAGCTTAAGTTCAGTCAAATGTGAAGTTTCCTGATCTGGCGCTAGACTAGCGGGAGTGGGTTGTTTTTACCCTGACTTAAATTTTGACTGTTCAGAGTTTCACATGAAGAGTCCTAAGGTTGCTTTTAAATGAAAGTCCCAGCACATTGTGCACACACCTTCCCTTTCACCAGAGGCTCACAGCTCTCCAGTGTAGTTTTACTCCAGCCTCTTAGACTTCAAAGGAGCATTCAAGTAAGACCCACTTGTGGAGTGAGCTGTGAGTATGAGCTGTGCAGTCTAGCTGACCTCTCCCACCAGGATCGTTGTACTTAGACTGAATCTCTTGGCAATATTTGCAGATGGTGATGCATTTTAGAACATTTTCAATGAGTCTGATTCACTTCCATTTCTTGGCTGCCTGTCTGGATGCTAGGTGACTGCACCCCAGGGTGTGACAATCAGCCCGGGTGGGGGGTTAAAGTAAGGGTTAAAAGCCTTGGTGTAATGTTTGGGTTTAATCTCATTCATGGATCATTGGCAAGGTCCAGAAACAAGGATCTTGCAGGTGTGTGCAACCCCCACCTTTTTCTGGCTTGGGGACTGCTTATGCCTAAAGCCAAACAGTCCAGAGTGGAGCCTTTTGAGCCCAGGTAATTCTAGTGCAAACGACTTCATCTTCCACTCAGGTGGAGCGGCAACAGCTGGTGTGAGCTTCCTGCAAATGTTTAGAAACGAGCAATTCAGGGTGCATTGCTGCAGCTCTGCCCCTTCTCCCTTTTGCTCTAAATATCAACTGGTAATGGAGGGTGTGTGCAGAGACAAAAGGCCAAGTAGCAGAGTTTTAGGCAAGATTAATGACTTCATGTACTGTGACTGTAGAAATACACACGTTTTTAAACAGCACCATTTCCAAGTTTCTACACAATATGATTATAACTTGGCACAATTTTTCGAGGTGAAAAATACTAGTTCAGTAATAAAAGACCTGGTACATAAAAGGATAAGGAGCGGTATTCTACCGGTTACAGATTGTGCACTTTTACACCTCCAACTAGGACGGAAATAAGCCACAAGGAGGGCGCACCCACCCAAATCAATACTGGAAAGTTTACTAAGCCTTCACTTCTCCATAACGGCGATGCCATCCGGGCTCCGCTTCCCCTGGAATTAGAATAACCGAAGGACAATTAAATAGTACTTCAAACAAAGGTCCTTTTGCCGACATTCCATAAAATCGCCAGTTTCAGTTCAGTTCAGAGGCTTTAAAAAAATACTCTAGACCTAGTGAAGCGCCTCCATTCATAAAAGGAGACATCCGAGAGCAGACGGAGACCTTTTCCTCCTGATGCGCATCTGAGCCAGGCCGACGTGCACAGCACACACAGCGCCCGCGTCGCCGCATCCAGCGGATGGAATACACACCCAGCCTGCCCCGGCGTCGGCGTCGGCGTCGGGCAGAAGCATCCGCGGGGGCGGCCGCCCGGCCTCGCCAACCCCGAGACGACGTCCCAGGCCGGGCCGGCGGCGGCGTTCCAGGCTCGCGGGCGGCGGGGGGCCCCGGGGCGCGGGCGGCGGGGGGCCCCGGGGCGCGGGCGCCGGGGCCCTCAGCGCAGCTTCTTGCCGGGCGGGCCGTCCCGGGGGCCGCGCGGCGGCGGCGCCCTGGAGAGCGGGCAGTACTTGATGGTGTGCGCGTTGTCGCCGCTGGCGCCGCACAGGGGGCACGTGTAGCGGCGCAGCACGGGGCACAGCACGCGCCCGTCGGGGCCCTTCAGGATGTGGGTGCTGTAGAGCGCCACGGCCTCCCTGTTGTTCCGGCAGAACACGCACACCCGCAGCGCGGGCCGCAGCAGCCGCGCGCCGGCCCCGGGGGCGGCGGGCAGGGGGGGCTCGGCCGCCCAGGCCGGCGCGCGCTCCTCCCGCGGCGCCAGCAGCACGGCGGCCGCGCGCCCCGCGAACGGGCGCAGCTCGGCGAAGCGCTGCTCCAGCCGCCCGGCGCCGGCGGGGCCCGCGCGCAGCCCCAGCGCGCGCAGCTCCCGCGCGCCCGGCCCGTCGCGGTCGTCCTCGTCCTCGTCCTCGTCGTCGTCCGCGGGCCCCGGCGCCGGCCCCCGCGCCCCGGGCCCGGCCCCCGCGCGGGGCGAGCAGCAGGCCGAGGAGGACGACGAGGGCGGGGAGGCGCCGCGGCCGCCGGCCCCCGCGCCGGTGATGAGCGTGGCGAGCCCCAGGTAGTCGTGCCACGAGCGGAAGGGCGGCGGGCGCGCGGGCCCCGGGGCGCCCAGGCAGCGGGCGCCGGGCGCGAGCGCGGGGGGCGGGGGGGCGCGGCCGCGGCGGGGCGAGCGGGGCGCCGCGGGGAGGGTCTCCATGGGCGGGTGCGGGCCGCGCGCCTCCCCCGCCGCCGGGCGGCCGGACGGAAGGACGCGCCTCGCCTGCCGCGGCCTCCGCGCGCCGCGGCCGCCGCGCCGCCTTTTATCGGGCCCGCTGCTCCCGCCCCCGGCCGCGCCGCCGCGGCCCTGCCCCCCGCGCTCCCGCCCGGCCGCCTCCCCGCGCCCGGACGGGGCGGGGCGGAGCGGAGGCGGCGCGCGGGGGGCGGCGCACGGGCCGGCGGAGCGCGCGCCCCGCGCCGACCCGCCCGGCCCCCGCGCCCGCGTGCGCCGCCCGGGCCCCGGGCCATTGGCTGCCGACCCGGCCCCCCCGCGCCCCGGCGCCGCTCCGGGCGCGGGTTGGCCGGGCCGGCGAGTGGGCGGCCCCGGGGCGGGGTGGGGGGCCGCGGGGCGGGGAGCGGGGAGCCGGCCGGGTGGGGGCCGGTGCCGGGCCCGCCCGCGCCCCGGCGCGCCGTTCTGGCTGCGAGCAGGTGGCGCGGCCCGGCGGGCGCAGGTGTCCGGCTCGCGGTCTCCCGCGGGCTGGGGCGGGGACTCGCGACGAGGGTGCCCCCGAGTCCGCCTCGCAGCCCCAAGGCCTGGGCCGGGCTCTGGAAGCGCCTTCCCTCTCCCCCGGCGCGCTGCGGGCAGGACTGGGTGCGCCCGGAGGATGCAGTTTGCCCGTCGGAGCCGCCCAGCCCTGGTGACTTCCGTTTGCACCGGCGCGGGCAGTTTCCCCACGTGCGGGGCCGGGGTCCCCGCCTGTCGCAAGAAGTGGGGAGCGAGGGCGCAGCACGTGCCCCCGGCGGCCTCGCAGCAGGTGCGCAGACCTGGGTGGGGAGCCGGGCAGGGCCGGGAACACCCCCGCCCTGGGTCAGTGATTGGGGCTTGCGTGGGTCAAAATCCTCACCTTCTGGTCAAAATCCGGGTTGCACCTCACTTGGAAATATTCAGTGTCACAGTTTTGCAAAAGCAACGAAAAGTAAATCGGATTTTTGGTCGTGGGGGTAGGAGGGGTCATGCCTGCCCTGAGAGGCGCAAACATTTATTCCCCCCAGTGGAAAGCAAGAGAGATTATAGGTGCTGGCGAGGAGGGTTCTTGGCGGGATCGTGGCCTGGTGGCCGGACTAGCAGGCAGCTTGGACTTCATGGCAAGGGCAGGGGGTGTGGCAGCCTCATCAGGCCTGAGGCCAGGCGGAAACTAGGCCTCAGACCCCATCAGGGCCCTGCTGGGTGGCCCTCTCAGCCTCCCCTGGGCCCCACGGCCAGTCAGGAGGGGTGTGCGCCTGCATCAGCACCGCCTGCATCAGCGCCACCAAGCTTAGGATGCAGGGGGAGGAGAGACGTGAGGGGGGCCCTGGGGCTGGGCCCTGTCCCCGGGGAGCGGCTCCGAGGCCAGGCCAGGCACAGGGAAGAACTTGAAGGAGTAACCGGATGCCTGCTCCGGCCCCCTGTCCACACCAGGGCTTGAAGATCTGTTTTCCAGCCTGTTCCTCAGCTCCTGCTCCCCGTGGCTGACCGAAGTCCTGCGCGCAGGCAGCCCTGCCCTGCACTCGCCAGCCCAGTTCCTTTCTCTAGTTTGTCTTGGCTCCCGAGTTAAAAAGCCTTTTTTTCCCTTCCTCTCTCTCTTCCACCAAAAATAAATAAAACGGCCCCAGTGGCTGAGGCCCCTGCAGAAGCCGGGCAGCTGGGCTGACGCTCACTCAGGGCCCACCGCGAGCTGGTGGCCCCAGAGTGACAGGAAGATGATTATTCTATAAAAGGAAAATTCCAGTCTGTTCATGCAGCCACGCCTACTTTCAAGGTATGCAGACTTTTCTGGCTTTGCCGAGGGGGAGATCCCTTCTGAGAGAAACTTCTGCAAGGAAAGCTAGAAAACCGCCAGCCAAGATGGCAGACGCCTGGGCCTTCTTCCTCGCCCCCAGGGTTTTCAGTCCTCGTGGCTTCACGAGGGGAATGAAGATGTTTTCAGGAACGTGACTAAGAACAAATGCCTTGATTTGGAGCTTAGCCAGGGCAGGCGGGGAGTGAGGATGACAGGAGCCCCCCGGAAAGAGGTGGGGCTGTGTGTCCTGGGGTCTGGGTCAGCGTCGTTCCTCCCGCTCACGTTGTCTGCACTGGGCCGTGCCTGCTGCCGAAGGCCGGGAGCTGTTTGACATGAGGGAATATTTGGAAGTGGAGGTGAAGTGCTCGAAGGCTTGTGTGTTGGGGTGCACGCTGACCTCAGTCCCCCGGGAGGCTTTGCTGTGGTCGCCGACCAGAGTAAGGCGAGAGCAGGCGCCTGGTCCGGCTCTGAGCTAGAGTTTCCGCATCACCGAGCCCACGTTGCTCTGGCCGTGAGTGCTGCCGCTTTCTTTGAGGTGGTGGAACTGACCTCCGAGGTGTTCTTAGCGCCTCTGGTGAAGCCTGCCTGCCTTTGGTTCTCTTTCCTGAAGTCCGGGACGAAACACAGAAAGAGCGAGTATGAAATGTCTTCAAAGGACACCCCGTGTCGGTGGAGGCAGGGCCGGGCCTGGTCTTGGAAGTCAGAGGGTGTTGTTCGGTTTCTTCTGGAAAGGGGCCTGCATGGCACACAAGCAGGCCCTGGCAGGGAAGGGCAGGGCAGGGCGGGGTGGGTGGTAGGCGGGATTGTGGGGTCTGTGTTCCCACCTCCCCGAGTGGCCCCCAGTCCCAGATCAGACCATTTCCTTTGCTGGCAGCAGAAGTGAACCGAGAGAGGCAACAGGCAGACCTGAGGTGTCTTGGGGCTCTTCAGAAACATGAGGTCAGCCCTGGGGAATGAGGCAGCTTGGCAGGTGTCCAGGCAGCTACAGCGCTGCTGTTTGTCAGGCCCTGGGTCCCGCCGACTGCCTGCCTGCCTGCCTGCCGAGCTCCTGCTTGGGGCAGGAAGCGCTTTGGCTCTGCCACCGTGGGGCTTGGAAGTGGGTGAGGTGCGTCTTGGCATGTGGCGGGGTCTCTTCTGAACCACCGTTGACATGGCCCATCTCATGCCCCCGGCCAAACTCAGAGAGTCCTGGGGACCGGACGCCTGCCCTTTGGGGGCCTCGCGTGTGCCCTGGGGTTGAGAAGCCACGTGGTCACAGGAAGGCGCCCACAGGGAAGGCGGCCCAGGTCTTCCTGGTCCTCCCGTAAGGTCCCGCGGGGCCTTGGACAGGGGTGTCACCATCTGGGCTCCAGCTCCGTCCTCCATGCAGAAGGGCCGCATCGTGTGAGGTGGCTCCCACTTTCCCTGCTTCCTTCCTAACTCTGGGGCCGCACTGGAGCCCAGGGGATGCATGGTGCCAGGTGCCAGGCAGACAGGATGTGCCTAACCAGGTGAGGGGAGGCCTGGTGACCCGCTTCTGGTCCCTGAAATGCAAGGGGGTGCCTGTTAGGACTCTGGAAGGAGTTTGTTCCCTTATTTAAAAAAGAAAATAAAGGGCCTCCCAGGTGGCACAACGGGTTACGTCTCAGCACTATGAAGCTATCACCAGCCTCTGCAGCATGAGTTTGATCCCCCGCCAGGGAGTTACCCCCATGGCTCAGCAGACCTCTCCTGTCTCCTCTTTGCTCCCCTCAGCAGTGTATCTCAGTCAATCTACCTGTTCTGCTCCCCACTGTGTCTCTGGTGAGTCCTCTCATCCCCGCACCTCTGGCCTGAACCCCAATTCTTGTATGCATAAATAAATAAAATAAATCTTTGAAAAAGAAGAAGGAAGAAGACAGGAGCCTCACTTTCTTCAGGCCACTAGCAGGTTCTGGAGTTGGGTCACTCTGAGAATGTCGTAAGGACAAGAAGCTGGCACGCTGGTGATGGCTGGCCGGAAAGGTTTCTTTGTATAATGCCCTGGCGACGCTTCTGTGGATGGCTGGTGACTAGTTACATGAGATCATGAGACGCCCTCGCTGTTCAGCCACTGAGTCCGCTGTTCATTCGCTTGCAGGAGAATTCATTCTAATTGGAACTTGTGCTATGAAAAAATGCATTTGGTAATTTGTCAAAAAGGTAGGCTGCACTTAACCTGGCCAGATGGAGGTGACCACCACACCAGTGTGTGTGTGTGTGTGTGTGTGTGTGTGTGTGTGTGTATACGAAGGTGTGAAGAGGGCACAGAACTGAACGGGGACTGGACAGGCATCTCCTCTCCCCACCCTGCCTGGCACTGAGTCTTGCAGCTGACACTGATGATCCTGTAATCAGACCAGGTGCTCTCTGCACTGGCGCAGTCTCCCACCCATCTGACCACCCCAGGCCCCCACCCTTTGTACAACTGCCTGTGAGGCGCGCCTGTGAGCCTGAGGAGGGTGGGCTCAGCGGGTCTGGTTGGCGCCAGAGGCTTGGGGCTCAGATTGAAACCTTTGTCTCTCTCACTCCAGAGCTGGCTTGTGCCTACTCCTTGAGGCACCTGGTGCCTTGGCCCCGGGGCCTCAGGGTCTGGTGCTGTCAGGCTGGCGGCAGCACAGGTGGCAGGGGAAATGCCCTGAGCTGCATGGGGCAAACCTGGGCACAGTCCCCTGGTCATAGACGGTTCCCCCAAACAAAGCCAATACCATTTCAAAGCAGTCTGGCTTGCTCTGCTTATTCAGGAGTGGGGACGGTGGGGAAGCGAGGAAGCCTTTCTCTCCATCACACTCCCTTTCTCTTCCCAGCCGGGTGGTTTTCTTGTCCAAATCTGGCATGTCTGGATTTTGCTTAAAGCTGGGTATGCCTGGAGGACGGAGGCCTGGGGGCGACGGTGCCGAGAACAGGGATAGAATAGTTCCCAGGTGTGAGCCCTGACAAGGCAGGCAGCTGGAACACCTGTCACTTCCCAGGTCCCACCGGCACCCCGCGGGGATACCCATCTCACAGAAAGAGAAGTGCAGTTGGGGAGGCTGAGAGCGCACCCCTGTAGCTGGTTAGCACGAGCTCTCCAAGTGCTGCGCTATGCAGCGCCCTACTTCGCCACCTCCTCACGTCTTCCTCCAAGGCCATCAGCAGCCTTCCTGTGCTCATCTTTGGCTTCTGCTGTCCCTAGGGACGAAGA